TTGGGGCCTAAAGTTGATAGGGGAATATCTATTTTATGTACATGCATAGTTTTCAATGGAGATTAGTCACTATTTTTTTACGTTAGATACTTCGTGTATATATATTATGGTTTAAATAAAGTAGTAAGGGGGATTTTTTAGATGATTTTATCCTTTAATTTTTAAATAATAAAAAATTAATAAATCTTACAAAGATAAGACTCAAACTTTTAAACTTTAATATATAATAAAGGGGATTATCCCATTTGAAGATCAAATGCAACCTCAATTGATTTATCAAACATTAATAATTTTTAAACTTGTTAAATAAAATATAGAGACACAAAATATTTCGATCCCTACTAGTATATATAACAACTTTCATATGTGAGGAGAAATTCACTTCCATCAATAATAAGTTTACTTATAATTTACTATATAACTCATATTTTACATTAAATTTTAACGATCTAATTATTGAATTTAAAGTTCATAGTATATAAATCAAGTTTGCAAATTTTTAAAAAATTTGAAAACCATTTAGTATTTTTTTTCCATAAATTCAAATCAATGTATAAAATACTTATATGATTTTTCATCAAGTTAAATTAATGAAATAAAATATTAAATAGTTTTCAAATTTTAATTTTTTTATAGGATTGATCTATGCATCAACACTTTTAATGGGAGAATTAAAATTATATAATTATAATATTTGATGAATTAAAATTGTTCAATTAAAAATTAAGAGACCAGTACAATACTTAACAAATTAAAATTACATTTAACCCTAAAATTTTATAGTTTTATATCAAATTAGAGATAAATTATTTGTGTTCAATCTCAAACATTCATTAATATTTTTCTTATTATTTTATTACAATTCATTTTGTTCGTGTGTTCAAATATGTGAAAAATTATCCTAGAAAAAAATATTATATTTTTAATCTCTCTATTTATTTTTAAAATTTAATATATTCTCACTATTTTTAAACTATTCAACTTAGTCTTTTAAGTTTTTTTAAAATGTTCGATGTTATCTTTTCATCCAAATTGATATTAATATTAATTGGACGAAAAGATAACATTAAACATTATTTAAAAATTAGATGATCACATTCAATGCCTTAAAATTATTGAGAAAAAATTGAATATTCCACAAATATAGGGATTAAATTGAACAAAAATTTATCTAATTTTTTTGTCTAGATAAATTTAAATTTTATTTTGCCTATTTATTAAGCTCTTTTATGATGTAACTCTTTGATTTTATGATATATATATTTTAAAATATTTAATTTGTTTTCATTTATGATCCTCTTAAGGTAAGTAAAGAAAATTTAAATTTTATATAGACAAAAGGATGTTAGATAAATTTTTATTCAATTTAGTTTTACTAATTTTAAAATATTTAATTTGGTCTTTTAATTTTTAAAAAATATTCAATGATATTTTTTTTTATCTAATTTCATTAATATTATTAATATTAATTTGGACAGAAGGACAATATTTACTACTTCTAAAAAAATTGAAGAATCAAATCAAATATTTTAAAAATGATGAAACTAAATTGAATCCTAAAAATGAATAAAGAGATTGAAAATATAGTTTAACCTTAAAAAAACCGCAAAGTCTTTATTTAATTTTTTAAATTTTAAATTTATTATATTTTAATGTTTGAAAAGTGATTTGTAAAATTGAAACTAATAAATAATTGGAATTTAAAATAACTAAATTGTTAGAGATTTCTTCTTTATTAATAGTTTAACTCGTGCCTATGCCTCTATGGATAAGAAGAAAAGTTTAACCCCAATTTAATATAAAAGATTATTTACAAAATGATAAATTTTTAAGTATTAATTGAGATTTGAATTTAAAACTCAAGTATTTATAGATATAAAAATAAAAAAAGAGATAAAATTAATGATCAATTAATATAAAATTAAATTTTAAGGTATTTATTTATAAGTGGAATAAAATTCAAGACCAATTAAGACGAAATTAACGTGTATTTTAAAAAAATAAATAAAGTTTAAGAGTTGAATATTTTTTCCCTTAATTCTAAGCTCTTAAAAGTTATTTATATGAAAAAATATTATTTAAAAATTAAGTTTTTGATAATTTTAATATAATATTGTCAACGGGCATGTATTAAATTAAACAAAATAATGAGTATATAACTATGTTTAAATTTTTTCAATTTTAAAATTAAGTTTGTAATAAATTTAAACAAAATTTTCAACGCAGTACAAAAATAAGAAGGAGGGAGAAGCAAACTGAATCTGAGGCACTTATTAAATTGAATTATTTGAAAACAGTATGCACAGTAATATTAAAGCATAAGATTATATTCGATCCATGCATTATAATAATTATTTTATTTTGTTTTATAATTGAGAAATGAGAGGGAGAGATGGGGATGCGAGATTGTGAGATATAAACCAACGCGTACAGCTGTCGTGCTCTTTTTACTATTTCAACTTGGATCTACCTTTGCCCCCACTAAAATATTTCTAAACATTCAACTCAAATATAATTTACTTTAACTATTATTAATTTTTAATTAACAATGGACGTATAAATATTTAATTCTAAAATAAAATTCTAAATTTTATAAAATTTGAAAACTAAATTACGAAATTAAAAAATTACATGGGGCAACGATGTAAATTTTAACAAAATATTAGAACAATATATTATTTTATATATCATAGATATTTTGTTAGGCCGATCAGTGGCAAGAGCAAGACCCAACTCCCACGGGGCTTGGCTTACATTAAATTTTGAAAAGAAAAAAGAAAAACAAATCCACCATCCACTCCAGTGGCCTAATCTAATTAAATGGATCGGGAGAAGAAGCCACAAGGATGTTGTAAATCTAGTTATCATTTATCTCCATGATATTAATATTATTTTCCTCTTTTTATATATATATTTTTAGTATGTTGTTAATGATTGATGGATTTTAGGATGTTAATGATGTCTTAATTTTATAGTGATATTCGAGATGATAGATTTGGTTAAAATTAGAATCTGGAATCGGTTAAGGACAAGGCATAAAGATTTTAAGTATGACTTTATTTCTTGGTCCATGAATTTGGCAGCTTGCCTTACCTAGGTAAATGTATTTAAGTGATAAATGAGACTATTGAAAAAATTTGATTTTACAATTTCTATTTTAAAGTTGTGGGTTGGATGTGATGGACTAGCTTAAGTTCCTAGTTTTGGAACAGTATTTTTAGTAGTGCATACTGCATAGTACACATATCACATGTGATGTTTTTGTAAGGGTTGGAGTACCCTTTATACTTCCTTTATTTTCAATTATTTGGATTATAAAAAAATAGTGATATTTAATACACTAAACTTTTTATTAAAAAAAAGTAATCATTTATCTAAAAGTAACTTTAATTTCTTTTTATGGATTATTATGTGGATAAATCATTAACATAGATGTATTTTTAATATTGGTCACTAGAAGAAAATTAGCATATACCAAGGGACCAAGGATTTTTCACAGTCATATATTTCACATTTTCAAAAACTAAAATCATCAATATATTGCGTGTACGACAACCTATTAATATATTATAAGAGTGGTATTTTTATAATTCTTTTATAATCCTTAGTAGTTAAAATTTAGAGTAATTTATAAATATTTTCTCTTTAATTTATCAAAATATTTTTTTAAAAATAAAATTATAACAACTTAACATGTAAAAAAATGAATATTTTAGACACAATTATCTTAACGAGTTTGGTGAATTTATAATCGAAATATTAATACTAGAAAGATAACTTCGCCCAAATCTTACTCCTTAATCTCAATTGAGAACTTATTTTGGTATTATCTAAATGTTTCACGTAATTTAGAAGTCAACATTAAAAAAAAAGAAGTTGATACATACCCTCATTCTTTGATCACTAAATTGCCTCTTATTTTGGACAAGCAAATTACTATAGTATTCATCTTTTGACCATCTAATTCATTTCTTAGTTAGAGGAATGTGATGTTATAATAATTATTTTAAGACTATACCAACAAAAATTTCTGAATGATTCAAAAATTATTGTTAGTGATAAGTTTATTTTGTTACACAATGAGAGCATATATAGTTAATTTAATATGCCAAATATATTATTGTTTGTCTTGTGTTACGTTTTCACTAAATAGGAATGTTCAAGTTATGGAACCTCTGAACTAAAATTGTAAAGTCGGAGGGTTTTCTGATAATTGGTTATTATCAACATATATGAATAGCAAACACCCTAGCTAGATGCAGCCTTCGGTTGACAAGAGACACACCATCTTTGATATGTTCTCTTTTGGAATAAAATATCGCAGTCTATTTAGATGTAAGTATTTTGAAATTCTTTTTATTAAAAATAAAGAAAAATATTTTAATTAAAATTTATCAAAAACGTTTTTAAATTCATATTTAAATAGACTCATAATAATGATAAAATTTAATTGGAATAGTCCATCATAAAGAAATTTATTGAAAAAACTTAACAAATTATTTTAATATATGTTTTAATACACTTTCCGTTGTGGGATAAGAATCCAGTTAAATACATATCTTAAGATGAAATATAATTAATATTTTTTTTTTCTACGTATTGTAATTTTTTTTTTACTTTACACAATTAAAATTTATAATAAATAATTTACATTATATTATAAGATTATTTTATTAATAGTTTTTTAAAATATTAAAATATAATTAAAAATAAGAAAACAATAGATTTTTTTTAAAAATATCTCTTTAAAGAAAAACAATTAAACATACTCTCTAAAAAATATTAACAATGAGTTTAATAATATAAAAAAGTGTTCCTAAAAGGCTATGTCTAAGATGGAATGGAATTGAAGGAGGCAATGATCATGATGACAAGAGTTTGATGTCATCAACATTGAATATGAATGAATGTTCAAAGTGGATCCCACCCTTGCGCCTCCCAACTAAGCCACCCTTTCTGCGCCTTCTTCCTTTCTTTCCACATTCCTCATTCATTCTTCAAGCACACCTATATATATATATATATGTATCATCCAAATCCAATGTTCACAATTCACATATTCATTAATAATCTTGTTCATGAGAGCTATAAGACTCCACCTTTCACTGCTCAATTGGAGACCATCTCTTTTTTCTCTAACAAATTCTTATAACACCATGTCTCAATCAGCTTTCAACACACCCAGATTGATCCTCAAGAAGGTTTTGGCCAAATCTCAACATGAAGGGGATGGAGCTGTTGTTAGAAGAGGCATTGGAAGGTTTTTTTTTTTGTGTATTGAATCAACTTTCTTCTATTTCAATTCATGACTTATTGATTCATTCTTGTATCAGAAGCGACTTGAAGAACCTGGATCCCTTCTTAATGTTGGATCACTTCTCAGGTACATACCTACTTTCGTTGACCACCCCTTTGTCCTTATATCCAACATTATCAGTATTTTAACACCGCCTTACGTCTTTCACTTTGCAGTATCTCCCCCTGGAGGATTCCCTGATCATCCACACAGAGGTTTTTCAATCATATTTTCCTATTCATCCTTTATTATTATTATTATTATTATTATTATTAGTTCTTATTCTCTTTCCTTATATTTTCATTTGCCTCATCTTTCCAGGTTTTGAGACAGTCACATACATGCTAGAGGTATACTTACTTCCATTTAACATCAAATTAAACTAAACTGTACTTCTAATTTCTTATTTGGCCAAAACTTTATACTTTGCTTTTTTCGGATTTTAGGGAGGCATAACTCACCAAGACTTTGCTGGCCATAAGGGTACAATAAGAACTGGTGATGTTCAGGTACCACAACTACTACTCAATGATGAAAAAAAGAACAAGATTGATTGGTTTGTTACTTGTTACAATATATTTGTATGTGTGCAGTGGATGACTGCAGGCAGGGGAATAATTCATTCTGAAATGCCCGCAGAAGCAAACAACAAGGGCTTGCAGCTGTGGATCAATTTATCAGCCAAGGACAAAATGTAACATATAATTACATACCCCTATCCCTATAATTAACTAGTTAAATAAATTTCCATCATTATTCACTGTGTGGCATTTCATTTTGATTCAGGATCGAGCCTAGATACCAAGAGCTTCCAAGTGAGAACATACCAAAAGCAGAAAAAGATGGCGTTGAAGTGAGAGTTGTAGCAGGAGAAGCAATGGGAGTGCATTCTCCTGTGTACACACGAACTCCAACCATGTTCCTTGTTTTCTCCATGATGCCAGGAACTGAGTGGCATCAGATCATTCCAGAGTCATGGAATTCCTTTGTTTACATAATTGAAGGAGAAGGTGTATTCGGGTGTCCAAATTCACCTCCAACTGTGGCACACCATGTCCTTGTTTTGAGCCTAGGAGATGGCCTTAGCGTGTGGAACAACTCCTCAAAGCCTTTGAGGTTTGTTCTGATAGGAGGAGAACCAATCAACGAGCCAGTGGCTCAGTATGGTCCTTTTGTGATGAACACACAGTCTGAGATTGAGAAAACAATTGAAGACTATCAGTATGGCAGGAATGGTTTTGAGATGAGGAAGTATTGGAGATCTCAATAGTATTATTGATAGTGAAATCAAAGTATGAAAGTTATGTGTATGAGATAAAATAAGAAGCCTGTTTTCCCTATCCCTTTCAGTGTCACAGGTGTAGCTATCAAAGTAGTAGGAGCTGAAAAGAAATATTGCTTATTCTATCTTTTTCATTTCAATGTATCAAAAGTTTCTAGAAGATTAAAATTGCTGCCGGGACAACTATTGCTTGTGTTGTGGCTGAAGTCATCATGGGTCAGCTTATCTTCATTTTCACTAGATTTCTTTCTTTCTTTCTTTCTTCATATCTATCCATGTTTGGGGTGGTTGAAAATTGAGATTATAAAGAGTGTATAAATAAAACTTTCAGATTATAATATCATAGTTTTTAGGTTCATCTCCAATATAAAAAAATAAAAAAGGATTGTTGAGTTTTCTTTTTGCAAAAAAATTAAATTTTATATTTTCAGGAGTATCATTAATAAAAATTGACTTTGTTTGAGCTTCCCTTTGAGATTTTGTTGGTACGAAAAAGTTGTAGGTAATGGTTGTGGGTTGGAAACTGTGATTGAGATGGGTGGGTGATATTGCATAATGCATATTGGGTTCACGATTGTGTGTTAAGGTCCTCCACCATCTCAGAATTTTAAGATTTTCTTAATAAACTGATCTTTAGTTGATCTGAATTGTGGCATATTGTCCAACCCACATCTTTGAGGATCATGTTGAGTGGGAACTTTTCGTGTATGGTGTATAAAAATGGCATTTTTTTTTTCTTCAAATGTGACTGGCAACCAAAGAGTAAAGTTTTTAAGTTTATGAAAAATTACAAATTTGTGCTATTAGTATTGAACATATATATTTTTATAAAGGGGAGTGATAATGTCTACCCATTTTGGGATGGATTGATATAAATATAAGAGAGATTGAGAGAAAAGACAAAAAAAAAAAAAAAAATACTGAGAGAAAGTAACAAATATGACAAGTGATGCGGAAAAAAAAAATAAGAGTGAGAGAGAGAATTAACGGATGATTATAATTTTTCTTATATAAATGTTCAATAGCTTATGAATAAAAATATAATTAAGATAAATTATATTTGCATTTTCCCATGTTTAACCAAATCACATTGGATATTCTTCTCTTTCTCAACATTATACTTTTTTATTAAATTTATTCAACAATAAAAGAAATCAAGAAATGCATATTAACGAAAATGATATATTATGTTATTTTATAAATTGAGAAAAATATGCATACAATAAAAAAAGAACAAGAATTTAAGTATAATATCATTAAATCTTAAAGAGAATAAATATAATTTAAATATTTTCATATAAAAATTTAAAGCCGTCATTTTAAAAATATTATATATTTTCCATTTTATTAAATATGTAATTTCTTTGTTGAAAGTTACTTATTATTAAATATGTAATTTCTTTATTATATGTATTAAATTTTATAATAAATAAAATATATAAATTAATATTATGTTTGAATCTATAAATTATATTTAAAATTTGTATAAATAGATAATGTTAAATATATAAATTATATTTAGAATTTATAATAAATAATTTATATTATAATATAATATTGTTTTTATTTAATTATAATTTATTTTAAACATTAAAATTTAATTTACAATTAATTAAAATAAATAAAAATCAAATTAGATAAGAATTAAAAGAATTCATAAAAACTCTCTTATTAAAAAAAAATTCTTAAAAATATTATAGATGTTCATGTTTAATATATAGAAGTTAATTAAAATTTATAATAAATTATATATATATA